ATTAAAAAAAAAAAAAAAAAAAAAAAAAACATCTACATTAATTAAAAAAAAGAATTTAATTAATTTTAATATTTATGGGCGTCTACACGCTTTAACTTTTTAAAAATAATTTATTATTTAATTTAAGTTTTTGCACAGCACTAAAGTTTTAATAAATACAATATATATATATATATATATATATATATATATATATATATATATGAATAATTACACATTCATTTTATTATTATATACTTATTATTATCAAATTTTACAAAGTAATTTAATAATTACAAAAATTTATTATTTACGACCTAAAATATAATGAATAATATATATTTAAAATTTGTAAAAATAAATACGTTTAAATATGTTTGATCAATTATAAATAAGGAATTTGGAGGTAAATAGAGTCGAAGGAAATAGTTTCCTGTTTGAAGATATCAAATTATCTATACACAGCATTATGTTATAATTAACCGAAATTGATATTGCAACGAAAGTATTTATTTCAATTTTAAGCTTACATTATTTATTGCAAATAAATAATATCTATTACATTTTATTAACCCGATAGTGCTTTTTTTCTACTTTTCCCCAAAATAATTCGGTTGATTGAAACTTCTCATGAAATACAATAAATAAACATAGTATGTTTCATTTTCATAAATTTTAAAGGATTTCATAATCTTAGATTTCGATTTCAATTAAAAAATTTACTTTTCAATATTTTATGATTAATGAATTGATTAAATTCTTGTAAAAATAAGCTATCTACAAGAATAATATAATTCTTTTAAAAGCTTCACTTTTACTAATACATCCAATATTTATATTATTTTATTGAGTAGTAAATCTTTTAATTACTCAAAAAATATTATTTCTTTTTCAATTAGATCCTAACGATCTATTTCTAAATGAACGTACAAAAAAAAAAAAAAAAAAAGTAATTTCTATCGTGTTTAAAATTTTTTCACAATTTTTCCAATGTTGTTTTTTGTACATTAAGTGTGCGATAAAAAATAAGTATTGTAAAATATGAATCATTGAAAATATTTTCTGTTTAAAGCTGATAATATATTATAGTTAAAAAAATTTTTTAATTGTGTTAAATAAGAGATAATGCACTCAAACTAACGTACTTTTATGTTTTTTTTTCCCCATTATTTGAAGAAATGTATCATATCAATTCCTTGTATGACAAATAATGTTTTACTTTTAATTAATGTATTTTAGTATTCTATATTATATAATTCAGAATAATTTGACAAAATTATGAACAAAATAAGCAATTCATTTTACAACATTAAAATGAAACTGATTCATAGGATCGATAGTTTTTTTTTACCAAAACTATAAATTTTTCTCTTCCATAATGCATAATATTGTCGAGTTTTTCACTGGATATTAAAGAATTATTTAATCATCAGTCTAAAAATAATTGCCAATAATTTATTTATTTATTTATTTAAATTGAATAAATAAATAGTAATAACAAAGACATTCTTTGCGTAACGGTAATGATACTGCCGAACGATGTATCTGAAAAACTGCAAATAACGAAAATTAAATTGATTACTTGATTACCTAAGACTATATTTCGAATGGCCGTAATTTCGATTTCTATTAAATAGTTCGATTTAATTGACTCATATTAAGATTTACTCATTTTAAAATTTTCATATTTTAAATGTCATCGGCATCCTATCTGCCTATATTCTTTTATATTCCCAACTTTATTAAAACTATCCGCACAATATAGAATTTAATATACTTGAATGCAAATTAATAAAACGAATTGATAACGCTATTTGAATATTAATAAGTAGATCCTACTGCGTCCGGTTAATTACATATCACGAGGCTTTTGCAATTAAGAAAAGTAAGGGAAAAAGCTAGAAAGAATGAAAAAACGAAATAGAAACTTAGAGAACTAGGAAAATTGCATATTCCTCAACGTACGATAGATTCATTAAAATGAGAAATTGAATTAAAGGAAACTACATTAAGCGTGGCAACAATGGCTAAACGCGCAATTCAGATGCATGACATTATCTCCGGTCGTTTGAATTGAAGCTTATAATGCATTGGAGAGGAAGAAGAGGAATTTGATGCAAGAGTAGCAATGAAAATCAGGAAGATTCGCTAAAAGGATGTTCGTTCGGTCTCTTATTTCCTACTGACGCGGCATTCTCCGAGTTCTTTGCCGCTCGCAATTTTGCAATCTCACGGCGCACCGTTAGGTCAGGGCAGTCCACGTCCTAACGGCGCAAACCAAGGTCACGATCGGATCTACTCCGGGAAAGTGCCGTCACAATTGCATTTCCTCATTAATGGCTGACTGCACATCGGGGAAAAGTGGGGCGGAGGGAGGGCGGAGGGAAGGGAAGGAGGAGGAGGAGGAGGAGGAGGAGGAGGAGAAGGAGAAGGAGGAGGAGGAGGAGGAGCATCGCGATCCAAGCGTTGATTTTAATT